CCCTGGGAACCTGAATGTAGAATCTAAAAGATCATTTTTAGCCCTATTTTATTATAATATGTATAATTATATTTTGTCTGCCAGATATTGTGTTAAAAGTACTTGTGTGCCTCCATCTCAGTTGATCCTCTCACCAAGCCTGTGAGGTTGATACTATTTGGATCCTCACTTTATGGAGGAGGACCTGGAGGACAGCTAGATTATGTCACTTGCCCAAAGTTACCAAGTCAGTAAACAGAGGAGCCAGAATTCCAACTCTGCTGGTCTGGCTCCAGAGCTAGCTTCTCTTTGTGTATATTGCACTGACTAGGGTTGCTTTATTTATTTATTTTTTTAAGATTTTATTTATTTATTTGACAGAGAGAGACACAGCGAGAGAGGGAACACAAGCGGGGGGGAAGTAGGAGAGGAAGAAGCAGGCTTCCCGCCGAGCAGGGAGCCCGATGCGGGGCTCGATCCCAGGACCCCGGGATCATGACCTAGGCGAAGGCAGACGCTTAATGACTGAGCCACCCAGGCGCCCCAATTAGGGTTGCTTTAAAATAGCAAATGACCTTATTATTTCCCTGAAAAAATAAAATAGCAAATGACTTAATATCTAAAGGAAGTACCTTGAATGTACGTGATGGTCTTCGGAGAGGCTCAGAGGGCTCAGAGAGCAGTGATTTTTTTCAAGGGAATAAACAAACAAACAAAAAAGATCGATGCCTTCATCTAGGGACTGGCTCCATCCACTCCTACAATAAGCTTTTTAAGGGCAAGGACCACATTTATTCATCTCTAATGCTATGTCTGGCCGAGTATCTAAATCATGTGGTTATGCAGGTTGTCGGTTTATTGCCTATCTGCTCCAAATCCATTCCTCTTTGCCTCCTTTTGTCGTGCTGCAGCCGGACCCTGGCAACGTTTCTCCTTTGCCAGCTGATGCAGCTTAGGCTTTGTCAGCAGAGGGCACCGGCGGGACACTTCGAGGGGAAGGGGCTTGTCTTCGGGGTGGCCATCGGGCAGCTTCCTGTGCAAACCTGCAGCGAGTCGCACTGGCTCGGCCTCAGGCTGCTTACAGGGAGGCTCGCCAGCGCCCCGTGGGAAGCTCCCTGAAGTGCCACGGTGAGATCCGCCACCATCCTTGGGCCAGAGCCACCCGTTTGCCCATGGAGTCTGAATCTCATCCCTGAGAGAAGGCCCTCTCTCTTGAGTACTTTCCTTAGCCTTGGGATAGAAGCTGCTCCCTCCACCTGCTTAGAGATCTCTTTACCCCTCAGTAGTTAATCCCTTTTTATTAGCTAAGAATTCTTCCCATTAAAATTTCCCTGTTCAGAGTATTGGTGCGGTCTCAGTTTCCTGACCCGACTCTCACGAACACAATGCTAGATACTCAATAAATGACCGGTGAATGAATGAATGAGGGAGAGAATTGAGGAAAAATGCATCATTTTCAAAATGTATTCCTTCTGTTTATTCTTGAAGACTTGACGGTGTTGGGTAGCCCTCTGCCCTGCCAAACTCTTCCCAAATGTTCAGGTAGCTTGAGAGTTACACACTTTCAAGCAGTCTATCAAAACCCACCTCTCTTCTTTTCTTCAGGTAAATATTCTGTGACAGATTCCAGTGGCACCACGGATAGGGAAACAAGTTCCTCTCTCATACGTCCCCTCTGCACACCCGCCTGGATTTTCGATTTGATCACTCAGGGCTCCTAATGCAGGTGCTTTTTTTTTTTTTTTTTTTAAGATTTTATTTATTTGAGAGAGAGAGGGAGAGTGAGCACCAGAGGGAGGAAAGGCAGAGGGAGAGAGAGAAGCAGACTCCCTGCTGAGCAGGGAGCCCGATGCGGGACTTGATTCCAGGACTCTGGGATCATGACCTGAGCCGAAGGCAGACACTTAACTGACTGAGCCATCCAGGCGCCCCGCAGGTGTTATATTTTGAGAAAGCCAGAGATCTTCCTATTCGCTTCTACAGGAAACTACTGAACTCTCCACACAGTTGACGTCGAGACTACGAACAGTCCTGTTTTTACAGTCCAAACAAAACCAGTTAGTGTACGGAGACGTCCCTGTAACTTACTTTGGAGGAAGAAGTTCTGGGCCAAAGCATATCAGTAAAATAGGCTAACCTTTTGCTCTTATGCATCTCTGGGTAAGACTAAAAAAAGAATTTCTCTTAAGGCAGGAAAATATGAATTACAAAAGTCACAGTGATGTGCAGCTCTGTGACGACTTGCACAAACTGCCTGCCTACACCTATCTCCCCAGACACTGCAACCAAGTGAACCAAACCCTGAAATTGAACACACTTCCAAACAAGGAGTGCCCGACCCTTCATTAAGGCTGATAGAAGAGCACATCGAGGACATGGTGAGGTTTTGCTTGTTTACGTAATAAAATAGACACCAGTATTTAGCTGCTAAATGTGTAAACACAGCCTGTGTGACAGTGGGTAGCTCAGAGGGAAGGAAGCAATTTAGGAAATACCTCCTTCCCACATCACACACATTCGTAGCCCCATCAGAAGACCCCAAAAGTAGGTCCTACAATACACGCATTTTATAAAGCAAACCCACCCTCCAGCTTCAGGCTGTGTGTGACCTGGTTTCTCTTTTAAATTTTCTAACTGGGGTGGAAAGCTAACAGTGTAGTATGTCATGGTCAATATGTCAGCCGCAGAGTGAGTACAATGTTACAGAAAGATCCCAGTAGTCATTTAGTACATTTCCCCATAACTTGAGAGAATGTCAGATGGATCACTGGGGTCCCGAATGCCCTGTGTTGGATCCCCACGTCTCAGGCTCTGAGTTCTCTGGGTTTTAGAGTAAGTTTTATGCACAGTAGCAAGGGAGTTTCTTTCTGGGACTGGAGGACAGGTTTAAGGAGTGGAGTAGGAAGGTGGGGGTGTGCCGCTTTTCATGAGCCATTATTGCAGTTTTAATGGTTGTCAAACAAATGCCTAGTGATTTTGAAATGGAGAAGTTACAAGTCCCAAGGCTAGGTCAGGCTTAAGGATTCCTATATTGTACTACTGCTCCTACAAATAATTTTTGTTAATTTGAAAGCACGTCTTTGTTTGACATATCACTGTTACCATACTCCTCAATGTAACGGCCACCCAAGGGTGCTTAGGGTTAGGATTCCCCTCCCCTCCCCATCCCATGGCAGCTAGGACATCACTCAGATAAATATGGAAGGCAGTGACTTCAGTTATACTTTTCCCTTTTGCTGTCAAGTTCACCCATAAGAGGCCAATTCTCAGCCAGCCTAACCCTCTCAATCATTTAGGGCACAGAGTTACTTTTTTTAGTTGGTTCAGCAAAAATGAAAATTTTTGAATCCCAGTATAAGATGCGTTCCAGGAGCAATGGTGTTTATCTTGTCACTGAGTTATGGATGTTAAACTCTTCTGTTAGGTAGATAAGAGGGTAATTGTCAGAAAGGGCTGGGGGCTGGGGAGGATGTTCAGAGACCCTGGGCGCCTTGCCTTTTCCTGGCTCAATCTATTTTTCAAGTCTTGTTTAGAAATGGTTATGAATTAAGAATTTGAGGTTGGGGCGGGGGGTGGCGCTGGAGAGCAAGAGGGAGGAATGAAGTGAAGACTGTGGAAGTTAGGGAGGGAATGCCCTCAAGCCCCACAGTGATGAGAATTCCAAAGGAGGGGAGGGGGCCAAAGTCCTCAGGGCTCTGCCAGCAGAAATCTGCTAAAAGCATTGGAAGCTTTGCAGGCAGTGGTTACCTGTGGGATCTGCATCGTTATATTCATTTTGCATGATTAGTAATCCTAATTGGGTCTCGTCATCTTTGGGAAGAAGACCAGGTGCTTTGAGCCAGTGTTTTCCAAAAAACTGTGGTTGTAACCCGTTAATGTTGTGACCCAATTTAATGGATCTTTGACCAGCATTTTTTAGTGGAATGTAACAGAAAAAAATGCATCGCCTTAGCTTCCTGCTGTTTTTGTTTCAGTTGTGTGTGTATACAAGGATATGTATGCGCTGGGTTGTTATGGAAAATGTAGTTCTTACTGTGGATCAAGCTCAAAGAGTAGGAAAGTACTGGGTTTAGGTGACTTTAAAAGGAAAAGGAGGGATTGATTGTGGTGTGTAATTGGTAGAGTGGACAAACACGGCCCAACCAGTATTAATAGGTACACGTGCTTGTGTGAGTGTATGTGTGTGAGAGCCTGTGTGTGTGTGTGTGTGTGTGTGTGAGTGTTTGTGTGTGTGATCTGATTCTGCCACGAGGTCTAGGCAGTGGTATGCTTTTTCCCAAGAAAAAAAAGTCTTAAGATTAAGGGGCACCTCGGTGGTTCAGTCGGTTAAGAGTCTGACTTCAGCTCAGGTCATGATCTAGGGGTCCTGGGATGGAGCCCCCTTGTAGGGCTCCTTGCTCAGTGGTGAGTCTGCTTGTTTCTCTCCCTCTCGCTCTGCCCTTTCCCCTGTTCATGCTCTGTCTCTCTCTCAAAAAATAAATAAAATAAAGTACTAAGATTGAGAAGTTTATTTAAGGAGATGTTGCTTACTATGATGGTAATTTCAGAAAATCTGATGGGCAAACCTATTACTCTTCATTAAGGCACTTGAGATGCAGGAGATGCACCTTTTGCCATTGACCTGAAGTTGTAAGTCCTTAAATTTTTTTTTCAGGTCACAGTATATATGTTTGCCTAAGCACAGGCTGGTCAACTGTATGATAGTAGCATAAATTTTCATAATTTATACCATGAAGAAAAAAGCATCAGTTGAGTTCATTATGATACTTGGCTCTTCAGGGAGCAAATCCCTTTGAATATACTTCCCTGATGGATCCCTAGAGAAACAGTAATATTGCCTTAGGTTTCCAAACAAAATGAAAAAATGTTTCTACCTTAACCTTTCCTCTTGGCCTTTAAGGTGTCCTATCCGCTGACAAGCTTTATCTAGAAAACAAAGCAGCCACACCTGCTAGGAGCCAGGGGAAGACCTTCCACAGGAAGATGAGACCTGTGATGTTCTAAAACTCAGAGACACATTGTCACCTTTTAGTGGAACATTTATTAATACTTGTAAGGTGCCAAAAAAAAAAAGGGGGGGGGGAGACACTGATGTAAAATGACAGATGTCTTCTTCATCAGAGGTCTGCTTCACAGCCCGCAGGCTCGGTTGCTTTAGGCAGTATGTTCCCCAAGGCCGAGCAGTCGGGCTCCGTTGCTTCTGATACAAAGCAAGGACCTTTATCTTCAGGAACACTTGATGCTCTAGTCAGTTCTCGATGAGTACCCACTGTTGGCCAGAGGAGGCTCTAACTATCATCCCTTCCAAGGAAACAGATCACTAACCACCTCCACCTCCGCGTTGAAAACAATAAATTGAAAACAAAAAGCATAAATGCTCCTGATGCTTTGTACAGAATGTCAGGCAATTCTTAACAGTTGGCCTGAAAATGAATCCGAACGAGAGGCATGTGACAAGCAGATGGCTGCATGACTTACTCAAGGGAGAGAGCGCAACAGGAACGCTCCACGTTTAAGGAACTAGAGCATGTTCCCGATGGCGGGGGATCTGCCCACTACTCCCCTCTTACAAGATCTGACAGGCTTTTTTCCCAATTTGAAAGAGGTCCCCCTGAAGCGGACATGGTTCTACGGTTGAAAATACTAGGTTTACCTTGCCATGTCCTCTGACACCTTGATAGGTTTATCTTACACTGGGTGTTGCTAATTCTTCCAGAATCTGGGTTTCTGGGACTTGCTGTTTATTCAGCAGGAACCTACACAGTCTCCGTTTTTACTTGACTGAAGTAAATGAATCCACAACATCTTTCATTATAAATATAATGCCCTGGGAGAGAATACAGCAGCGAACCAGACAGACAAGGTTTCCAGGGGCCCTGGTACCCAGGACAGTGCCTGGCAGACAGTAGGCACTAAATAAATATTCACGAATGAATGCATGAATAATCAGGCGGAGGCTGTGGAGGCCACGGTAGTGTTTCTTCTAACTGCTTTGGATCTCTGAAACCACAGACTTCCGTCTCATCTGTTAGCAACAGTTAATTTTTCTTGGCCAGTGTTATATTTGAATTTCATTCATACACTAAAAATTATGGACCATTATAAATATCTTAGATTTCCTCTCTGGGTACCCTTTTCTGCTAGATCTTCAGAGTAAGGAGATGTTAAACCACACTGCACGATCCCCAACTTGCCTGTAAGCATTTACTAAAATAAAATAGCATTGTCTTATCCAAGTTACAAAAAACAAAAAGTTCTGAAATCATTTTTCTGCACAAATGCAGAATGGTATTATCAACCATAGTGTGAACTTAGTTCAGTTCCTCAGTTGTACCGTTGCTTTGAACTTTCACAAATTGTCTTTTTTTCCCCATCGTAAACATGACAACTCAATTAGTAAGGAATTATTTTTCAATTAGTCATGTCAGTTCCTTATAGCATGAGCTGATATTCTCAACAGTTTTTATCCACAGTTATCATATCTTTGCTTCAGAGTCCGTGCTTTCAAAGGAAAATTTGTAATAGCACAATGGAAAATGAAGTACAATCTCTTTTTATAGGTAAATATAGTATAAGTAGTAGATAATTGAAGAGCTTATACATCATAGCCTATTACTATTCTCAGCGGCTGAATGCTAATCAGTTAACTGCCTTTGAGCTCTATATTTTTAAATGTGATTAAAACATACAGTCTCACAGTAAATGTAAATGGCTTATTAAGGGCCTTTACATGGCAACAGTATCATATGTCAGAGATGAATGGTGTTTCTAATTTGCTAGCCACTTGGGTCAAGTTTACTTTAAGCAGGAAGCATATTTATACAAGTAATCGTAACACAAATGGTCTCTTGAGAAAAGCTGTTGGTGAGGGTTTAACATTTTTGAAGTATGCTTTTGTATATCTTCTAAATGGGTATTTTATAGGCACTGGGCCAAAGCGCCTTAAGTCCTTGTTCCTTCACACCAGCATCACTGCTGCGGATGGTGCCTGAACGCTCAGGAAGATTCGTGGTGTGTACGTTTCTAGGGGTGAGGCGAGAGAGGATCAGGGGCTTGAGCCATCTTCCTTTGTACTGCATTCTTCAGGACTTTGCTACTTAAATTGGGGCGGGGGGAGGGCAGCAGCACCTGCAGCACCCGGGGCATGTTAGAAATACACAGACCGCACTCCAGACCCACTGCACCGGAATCTACACTCGAACCCGATCTGCTTGTGATTTGTAAGCACTGCCTGGGACCCCAGATCCTCTGTTTTCTCTTTCCTCCTCACTTCTGGCATCTACCTCTTTCAAGAAAAGCCGTCCCCTCAGCCCATGTTTCCTTTCTTTCTCAGCACTGCCACACCCCAGACCCAAATGAATTTACCAACATTGGATGTTTTTGCTTTTATCCAAGAGCCCACTTCTGATGCTGCCCATTAGACATCATCCTGGGGCTTCCTGCTGCCTAATAATCTTGGGAAAGTCGAGGCATCCTAAGGACTTCTGAAGCTATGCATTTATCCTTTCTTGCGGCTAAGCCTCCCATCCTTTGTTTATTCTGCATTGAGAGCCCATCCTTCTGAGCTGTCCACCAGAACCCAATCTCCCCTTGCCATTTTAGTCCCTTCTCTTCTTGGGGGGTGGGGGGTGAGAGGTTGATTTCTTCATCCCAGTTTCTACCCCTGGAACACTACCTTCCCCTAACCTAGCCATAAGCTTCTCTGCTAATACATGTGGGGAATTGAAAGGACAAAAGGGCATCATGCCAGATGTTTGGGGGAATCACAGACAGAGTTTACTCAGTAGATGGAACTGTATGCAGTTACTGATGACTCACATGGCAGCCCCCTGAACACACTTCATTTGGCCACACCTTTGCATTGAGAGGCTTAGCCTACAGCAGGTGCCCGGAGGCAACTGGACATGCCACACACCCAGACTGACCAGCCTGTTGGCCCCTAGAAGCAATTTGATCCCTCTGTTCCAAACTGTGCTGGGGTAAGAGGTTCTGCAAAAAAAAAGTGAATTGGGCATTTAGAAGTGCATTGCTTACAAATTCAGGCTCTGTGGGCCGGGGGTTAGTGCAGCCAATGGTCAAGGGAACAATCTGGGGTCAACTGGGTGAGGACCCCTCAGCCTCCTCTGAAGTGGTCGGCACCCAGAAAAGATTTCTTTAATCAGAGGAGACTGGCAGGGGGAGAAACAGAATTGCTTTCTGGCCATAGTGAGTCCGAGGACCGCGTTTGCAGCTTCCGTTCTTTTTGAGACCAACAAACCAATTCTTTTCGGCGTGCTTCTTGGAGGTGTAGGTGTTGTAATGGTTTTCCTCCAGCCTTTCCAAGAACAAACATTCCTCATTTGGTGTCTGCTAAAAAGATAAGACCGAAAGAGGGTAGAATTATTAGTGATTGGTTTTCAGTGAGGTTTCTCTGTTTACTAGCCATGTGACCTTGGGAGAGTTTACTGAGGCCCTTTTGTCCTTCAGTTTCTTTTTCAGGAAAATTGAGATCATAATGGGACCTGTCTCTGAGGGTAATGGTAATGGTAATGACTTAGAACAGGACCCAGCACCTAGTGAGCCTTCAAATTCATTTACTGTTTTTGCAAGCTCCCTGCCATCTGCTGTCCTCAGGACCCTAGAGTTCCCAGCTGGGAAGATCCCGAACGACCACATAGCACATCAAGGGCAGGGCTGAGCCTTTTGTCTCTGTAAAGGCCTGGCACATGGACATGACCCTGAAAAAAGGCCAAAATCAGTAAAACCAAACCGTGATGTGGTGAGGGTTTTTAAGTTTGGATTGAAAAATAAATGAAAACCTACTAACATTATTTTATATCCTGGTGACTTTCACTAACAATATCAGCATTTTTGCCTTAGCTTTGTTAGGGATATAAACACTTGTACAAAATGTGTCCTAAGCATGAAACATTATCCTGGAACTTAAAATTGTTAAAAAGTGAACATAGCTTTATTTTTTCCTATGTATAAAAAGACCTACTTATACAAAGAATTGCACTGTATTTTTTTTTTAAAGAATTGCACTTTTAAAAAAAATCACAACTTTACTTTAAAAAAAGAAAAAAAAATTAAAAACCACCCCAAAGCCACCCACCCAGATATAGGCAACTGTTAACAGTGATGAACATACTTCCTCCTATCTTTACGTATGTAAACACGGAGGGACATAGATAAGGCCATACGGATAGAGGCTGATGATGTTAGCAAAATGGCATGCTATCTCTGCTTTAAAGAAAAAGGGGGGGGAATAAACCTATGAAAACATTCAATCTCACAAGAAAATGCAAGTTAAAACCAATTTAACAGGTTGGCTGTAATATCTGAAAAGAACAAAAAAAATTTGCAATGCTTAGTATTGTGAGAGCATAGGAAATAGGCACTTTTGCGCACTGTTGGTGAGATAAATTGGTAGCAATTTTCTGAGGGTAGTTTGGCAATATGTATTACCTTTGACCCAGCAATTTCATTTGTAGGAATTGAGCCTTAGGGAGATAGTTGAGCAAGTGTAAAACGGTATTTTCGAGGATGGTCTTTGAAGTACTGGGTATAATGGGAACACATTCGAAGCGACCTACATCTTCATGGAAAGGTGATTGGTTAAGTGGCTAGGGGCACATCCATACAGTGGAATCCAGTGCAGTTGCCAGTTTATTAAGCTGGAAAGATCACTACGACATATTCAATAGTGCAGTTACTTTAAAAATATCTACCAACAATTACTGTTTTATTTGGAGTTCATCTGTTAGAAAGTGGGAAGAATCCCAGGCATTTGAACTTCCTATTCATCAGGATTTTAGAATACATTTATTATATTTGGATATAAAATACGTATGCTGTATATTGATTTTGCTCCAGTTCCAAGTCACGTGATCTTAACGTTATCTCTTCACCCACAGGAGTGGGTGATGCCCTTCCTGGTGGTTTCCAATCTTGTTGTTCATTATTCTTTATTTGTGGGCACATTTGATTAGTAAGGAACTACAGAACAAGATGTTTCCTGCTTCTTATTCATTTGTAGTCTCGTGCAATGACATCTGGGTGAGACACTTTGGATCCTTTTAGAATAAGATGGGAGACAACTAATATTTAATTGGGTAGCTGCTGCCCCTAAAGGAACTTATCCAGACGTTAGCGGTTGATGCACGTTTTTGGGTGTGGGAGGAGGTAGGCAGTTGTGGACGTGTGTGGGTTACCCACTTCCCTGCAGGGAGGGTCTCCCGTGGCACCCCTCAGTGGGCGTTCAGGCCTGCGTTCTGTGACGCAGGTGAGGACGGCCACGTCCCTCCCCTGATGTCTCTGTTACACTATGGCAGTTGACACACACAGAGCTGCTGAGTCACAGGCTGAGTCAGCAGGGCCGCATCAGAGGAGCTCCGTCTGTCCCTCAACCAGGATTTGTCAGGAGTTGTGATGCACTTGGTGCAATGCCAAGGGCCTGGAGATTAACAGTTGATTCATGACTATTTTAAAAATTATTCTCTTTTTTATATTTAGCACACTTTTTTTCCCCCACTAAATAGGTGACATATGCCTCCTGTAGAAAATTTGGATAAGACAGGCATTCACATATTGTAAAATTAGCCACTTACCACCCCTAGAGATACATATATTAATGTTTTGATATATAGCCTCTCAAACTTATTTTTTAAAGTAATATGTCCTTTCTACAGACATAAAAATTTGTAGCAGGGTGGATTAATACCTAAAACTGGTTAAGAGTGTGAGGCAGAGCTCTGAGATATTTTAGAACTTGTCATTATTAGTGGAGAAATATATAGATTATTAGGCATAATATATTAAGATTACCCTCTGAATATTTCAGGTGAAGTACAGTGATGGGCAGGACTACAGTGGGAGCCCAGAGTCAATTGGATTTGGGGGTTCTCCCTCAATATTTTTATACAAGTAAAAGAAGATTATATTAAATATCAAAACTGATTTAAAAGAGGAAAAGCCATAAACTAAAAATGTAACCTATGAAATAATGAGGAGAAGGGATTTATAAACTTATTATTTGTCTTATAACTCTCACTGATGGGGTACCTCCCGTGTGTCAGCAACATTGGTGGGTGGGTTCTGTGCATTGTCTCTCTGACCCCTCTTAACCCCTATATGTGGTAGTCACCATCAATTACTATCTTCATTTTAGACAAGGCTCAGAGGAGGTAAGTAACTTGCCAAAGTTGCAGAGAATTGAGATTCAGTTTTGAGTCTGAGATTCAGTGATTGATTGGTTGATTGATTTTATTACCAAGTAGAAGAACCATCTTTAAAAAAAAATCTACTTCCTATGTAGCAGTCACTACCTAGCTCCAAACCCTTTAAAATTGTCCCATTTAATCCATATTTCAGCAAATAGCCTACAGGAGGCTGCTCATTACTCTGACAGTCTCATCTCCTGACCCTTAGCAGGCGGCCTGAAAGACCAAACTGTGCTCACATCCTGAACCCTGGCTGAAGTGACAGCTTTAAGAGGCAGTTTTCTGTGCCCATGCCCCTTGGCAATTTGATGTAAGTTAAAGGGGGCTTCCGACCAAAACCCCCTACTAGCTGCCTTTTTGTAGACATCTTCATAAAAGGGAAGAAAGGAGTTTGGCCAAGCCTCAATGATCGATTGTTAGGATATAGAGAAAGGATCACTGAGATTCAGAAATCATTTCAAAACTTGGGTCCATTGGCTTTAGTTCTCTTTCCATTTAAATCTTCTACCAGAGATACCAATAGGGGCAAAAATCACACTGTGTGTTTCCATTCTTTTTTCACAAAGACCAATATATACTGAGTCAAACCTGTGTAAAGCATTACCCAGAGGAGGGATGGTGCAAAAGATGTGGAGGATTTTTAGCTCCTGAGTAAACGCTCAGACAGGGATGTAGCTCATTCATTCGCCACATGCCTTCAGTACTTAGACACAGGAGGCACTTGCTGAAGGTTTATTGGGTGATGAGTCACATGCTAGAGTCTAGGCTCTATAATTTTTGTGAAAAGCGTAGAGAACACGCTTACAGCATGCAGTGGTGCTGGAGAAACATTTTTGGAATGAATGAATGAAGTGGAAATAGGTATTCTGAAATGATTGACTGAGGAGTTACTAAAATTTCAATCAATATCTCCTCTGTGTCTAGGTGATAATACGTTCGAGTATTTTGAGAGAGCACCACAAGAAAGTCTTTCATGCCTGCGCCTAAAATAAGGCACGGTAGAGGGTGGGAATCCTGCTGGAAAAAATAACAAACAGAGACTAATTGTTGCTTTATAGTTTGCATCACTCAGTGTAACAAGATTTCTGGAAACCTCAAACCTTGGCCGTGTCTGGAAGCATGTCAGCCTCATACTTACTGAGCCGTACAAAAGCCCATCGGTGTCCATGGCCAAGTACTGGCCAGTCTCGGTACTCTTTATATACACCTCCCCCACGCTTTCCGCACTGAGCTGCAGCTGAACTGAAACAAAAATAACACGAGCAAAAGTAAATAAACACTAAACCTTTGCCGATAGGGCCTGGCGGCCAGGACAGTTAGCCATGGAAAATTCTGCTCATTCATTTCTCAGTGCCCTCAAGGATGAGCCTCAAATTAATCAAAACATAGAAATACAGTTCCTTTTTCTTTGCCCTCCAAAGAAAGCTGCCCTTTGGGAGTGATGTTCTTGAGAGAAGGAGAGATGCTGGTGGGCGTGCCCTCCATCCCCCTGTTGGTTACAGAATGACCCCTCATGCACTTCCTGTCTCTGTCCCCTCCTGGCGGGGAAGTAACCACAGGAGGGAGTGAGCGACATTCGCTCTCCTAGGTGCTGCAGGGTGGGCAGCTGGCCAGCCTGAGTGCGTTTTGCTTTCATTAGCAACCTGCTTTGGGGGTGCCTTTTTAGGGCCCCAGCCTGTTCTGCCATGGGAGCTTCTCGCGGATAGATTGTTTGTTTGTTTCTTTAAGATTTTATTTATTTATTTGACAGAGAGACACAGCGAGAGAGGGAACACAAGCAGGGGGAGTGGGGGAGGGAGAAGCAGGCTTCCCGCTGAGCAGGGAGCCCAATGCAGGGCTCGATCCCAGGACCCCGGGATCATGACCTGAGCCGAAGGCAGACGCTTAACGACTGAGTCACCCAGGCGCCCCTAGATTGTTATTTAAAAAAATCCGATAGCGTTATTTTCCCAGACAGAGAGGTTCCCAGGAAGTTGGATTGATTAGTGCATCTGAAACTCGGGGAACTCTCCCACCATGAAGTTCAGTCAACTGCCAGGCTCTGCGACAGCCCAGCTGAGACAGAGGCAGAGGGGAACCCCAGCTTCTCACTGGGAAGACAAAGCAGTTGTCTGGAAGTGCAGGGATGGGAACAGTGGTTCTCACCCTGGGGTGCTGTTGTTCCCCAGGCGACATCTGACCACATCTGGAGACATTTTGGGCTGTGTTAGCTGCAGTGAGGATGGTACGTCGAGGCGAGGGATGCAGTGACACATTCTGCAATGCTCAGGGTGGCCCCCACAACAAGGAATTATTCAGCCCAGAAGGTCAATAGTGCTGCGGTTGGGAAACTATGAGGTTGAGGGCAAGGAGCTGAGTTCCTCTGAGTTAGACTCCCCATTTACACTGATTAATAACCCTAAGGAGGCTTGCCCACTGTGGGACCACTACCTGGAGTACGACAGCCACTCAATAATTCTTCATTTGTTCATTCTCCCCCTGGTGGCTCTAGAGGGGGAGATCCTTTAATGGCTCACATTTGAGAAGCAAAACTAATTCTGGGCTCTCTGGATGATTTCTTTGGTCACTAGACTAGTCATCACAACCATCGTGATGACTAGGGGTGAAAAATCTAACTGAGGACCAGTGAGCACCCCGTTCCCAGGGAGCACAAGCTGACCTCCCTAAGGGTCAGCTTAGTCAGAGGCTGAGGGGCAGTGTGGGCTGGAAGGAACACCGGACTCTGGTTGGCAGCTGGAGACCCCTCATTGCCTTTTCTTTGTTTTCCTGCTTTATTCAATTTCTTTGAATAGGAAATACATTCACCTGTTTCGAACTTGGAAACCGTGTTAAGAGGAGACAGAGTCTCCCTTCTATTGCCTCTGTCCCCCAGCCTCCCTTGTGCGACTGGGCAAATACATGTTATCCCTCCTGCCTTTTTTTTTTTTTTTAACACAAACTTAACAACCAACTGGAGATCTTGCCAGTGCAGCACTGAAAGAGTTAACCTCATTCTTTTTGCCAGCTGCACCGTGTTCTACTATGTGGCTACACCATGATCATTTAACCGCTTCCTTATTAATATGTCTGTTTTTTCTCATTTCTCTCTGTTTTCCTTATCTTCTGATTCATCCTGAGAGTGATACATAGTTACTCACCCTTACTGAAGATGCAGTTTTCTTGTCCTTGGAAGTGTTCACTACAGAGACTAGGGTCTCCTCTAGCTTCCTGTGGTCAGTGGAGTTTATCTAATTCACAGGAAGGAAACCGGAAGCCACTGATCTCCTTTCCCACGGGTCCTCCTGACTTGGGTTAGTCGGAGAGGGTAGTCATGAGAGAACAGGCCAGAAGGCCTCCATCATGATCTGGGCCTCTGCTCTAGCCTCACACCACACCACTTGCTCGCCCACTCACCCTGCCCCACCCATTTAACTCCCCCAACACATCAAGCTCTCTCCCACCTCCCACGCTTGATGCTTTGTCTGGCACCTTCTAACCCTTGATGTTGACACAGTTGGTCCTTCTCCTCCTCCAGGCCCCAGCCTAAATGGCTCCTCCTCAGAGAGGCCTTTCCCACTCAAGGCCCCCACAACTGTCTGTATACAACCTTGCCCCTGCCAATGCCACCTGGGTCCCCCCCCATTGTCCGCCTTCTCAGTCCTTTGTTTTCTCTGTGGCACTTTATAGGGCGAACAATTGTTTTTGTCATTTAGGGATTTGCTCCTTTATTCCTGCCTCCCCGGGAGAATGTGTACCCAGGGAAAGAACAGGGATCATCTCTGTCCTGTTGCCCGTAGGTCTGCAGCACTTCACACTGTGTCTTGCCCACCAGTTCAGCCAAGATAGATTTGTCAAATGGATGATGTTAGGCCAATATTTGCAGAGATGATCCCGCTGTCCATCATCAATAAGCTGTGCACTTTGAATCATGTTTCCAGTAATGCTTTGTGGAATGAAGTAAGAGGGACTGAGTTGAGAGCTTTCCGGGCTCTTCCACCAGCCCGCTGGGTGACCTTGGCGAGGCTCCTTAACCTCGAGGCCACAGGCTCTTTATCAGTAACAGGGGAAGGCTTTGCATTCAGTCTCTAAAGTTTTTCCCAGCTCTAACATCTAAGTAAATGCCTTTCACAGCAGTGCTGCACCAACAGAATATTGTTCGGCCATAAAAAGGAACGGAGTACTCCTACGTGCTGCAACATGGATGAGCCTTGAAAACGTGCTCAGTGAAAGAAGCCGGTGACAAAGGACCGCATATTGTATGGTTCTATTAAATGAAATGTCCGGAATGGACAGACCCATAGAGACAGGACATAGATTAGTGGTAGCCAGGGGCTGAGGACGAGGGTGGGGAGAGCAAAGGGGAAATTCCGGTTGAGAGGTACAGGGTTTCTTTTGCAGGAGATGAAAATGTCCTAAAATTGATTGTGGAGCTAGTCACAACTCTGTGAATTAAGAAAAACCACTGGGGGCGCCTGGGTGGCTCAGTCGTTAAGCGTCTGCCTTCAGCTCAGGTCATGATCCCAAGATCCTGGGATCAAGTCCCACATCGGGCTCCCTGCTTGGCGGGGAAGCCTGCTTCTCCCTCTCCC